AGACTTGTTCAACAAAACATTGCTCCTTTGCAATTAATATCTGTGCAACGGCCACTCAGTAGATCAACATTCCACACAGTATGGGCTGTCTAATAATAGCAAAGAAGGCAGTTTCCGCTTCTTTGTTGAATCGTCAACTAAATCAATTGTTTAACCTCCTCTCTAGAGAGCTCGTCAAAAGGATTATCCCGACACTTACTCTTCGCATTGGTTCAGCGAAAAGTATAATTTCATTGGTACCTTTCATTTAAGCCGCATAAAATTGGGAGGTAGGTCCCACTTGAAACAAGGTTGGGATTCAAGATTGGCTTCCGATCAGACCATGTCCTCAGAAATGTCTAAAATCTGCCCATGTGTCGGCACTTGAGCCTTTATGACAGATGTGACTCCAGATTTCCGGCGACGAAGTAATGGCTTACTCGCCTACCATCATGACTATACCCGCCATATCACGAGCACAAATCGGTCGAAGCACGTTCAGTGATTCTTGGACGCGCGAATTCTGCATTTCCTCCTCCATATATTCTTAATTGACTCTACCGTCCACGAATTTCCTCGCAAGTTTGTGGAGTTTTAGAAAAACTTATTTTTTGTAATTTTTTACAGGTCAAACGTTTTCAGTACTAACATGTTACTAACATAATATCTAAGCCTCTCTCACCTGATGATATCAATGTTATTTACACGTAGGTAAATTTGCAAAATTCAATTTGAACGATTTTGAATTAGTGTTACGCTCACCTCCATATTAGCACTAATATAACTGGGCGTAGTATCACGTTCGGTTGCCCATTGCAGGCTGGTTTGCTGTGGTCCCATCGTCATACAGATGATTTTTGGCCAATCCTTGACCCAGTGCACAATAGTGGGTGCCCCAAACAGTTTCTGTTTTTGATTTGTGTTGGCTATATAGAATATCACAATATAAAGGAAAAATAAATAATATATGTTCATGGTGTATTATGTTGAAAAATTATTATTTAAAACTAGCCCCCGCACAATGTTATTTGTGTTTTTTTAATTTTCTCCAACACAAAATGTTTGTGACTCCCCTCAGGAATCGATCACGAGCTTAGATAACACTAAACGATAAACAATGGTCGGGCAGGACCAGTGCAATCAGCAAGAAAACGAAAGAGAAAAAAGCAGAAAGAAGACTTATATGAGAAACTCCCGCTTAAGTTTACAAGGGAATTTTCATGGCGCCACAATAATTTTTTTGCCAAATGCCCTCGTTTACCGCAAAATGTTAAGCGTATATCGGCTAGCTGCGTCTGGGCGTGGCCACACAATAATTTTCGAATTCATGGGGCGTGTGTTGATCGGAACGTTTGCGTTGACAATCGAATGCCACCGGCAAATTAGGGGAGTATAAAGAAGGTATATATCTATATTTAAAGTGTAAATAGTAAACGCTAATTTTGTAATATATAATACATTTTATTTTTGTACAATAAGACACAAATATACTACTTGCTGGTGCTCGAGCGAGTTCGCTGTTAAACGGTCCAAAAATTTCACTAAAATACCACTTATCTCTAAATATTCATTTCCTTGAGTTTACCTAGAAAAGGATTTCTTTTGAATGCTAAAAGATACCACGAAAACCTTGGATTCCTGTCCGCGATCTTTACTGCAGCTCGCCACATTGGTGGGCCACAGTTGACTCGCGTAGTCTAGGTTGAACGTTTAAGTGATACAGGGCAATACTTCTCACCTTTGGTGCTTTTATAGCGTCTTGTAGCGTTTTTCTTAACTATTGACCCCCAGCATATCTAGAGGGGATTTCATCCACGACCTCATATATATCGTTTCTCTGTAAATTACATCACCTACACGACTACGCTACGCAGTAAACCTACAATTATCAAGCTCGCACGCTATGTCGAGCCCTCCCCCTCACAGGGCAATTCAATAAATGGCGGAAATATCTGCGGGCGTTCTTATGATTTCGCAATTATTGGTTCCAGATTAGAATCTGGTCAGCAACTATTAGATTTAAGTACAAGCTGTTTTCGACTCACGTGGGCTGGCACAATTCCAGCTCTAAAATGATTTGATTCTAAAAAAAAACCACGTGTACGAGTCGTTTTAGGAAGGGTTTGCGTTATCCATACATAACACTATCGTAATAAACGTGCGGAGTGTCGTAAAAACTAGAGCAATGTCCGAATACCACAGGCCCGAGATCCTGCAGTTGTGTTGAGCTAACACATGTTGCATATTTGGGGAAAAACACAGTGGTATGGCCGCCCAGTTCTACAGTAGCACCTTCGTTGCCCTCTCATGAGGTGTATCAATCTTTCAAGATCCGGTGAACAAAATTATATTTAATGCTTATGCCAGCGACGTAACCGGCCCAGTGCATGCAGCCTGGCTTTCTATTTTCACACGCCATTGAAAGCACGTGCATTTGTTGGTAGTTCTGGCCGCGAGTCACTGCCCTTTCTTTGGTTTTATTACTGCGGCATTGGTTATTGACGTGCCCTACCCTGAAGCACAACCCCGCGGGGCTGATTAAACCGAGACCGTTTTCTGTAAGGATCTCGTCCCCACAAGATAAACTATACTAATTTATGTGTTCTAGCGCTCTAACCGCTGTTCTCGAATGTATAGCAAATTGTACACTTGCAATATAACACTCTGTTTCACTAATCAATATTATTACTTATATATAGTTATATTAATTTATTATATATAGTTTGTATTAGAGATATAAAATGCTTCTATAAACACGGATTAGCATAGATGGCTGGCTCGCCGGACTTATCCGCCAATAATACAACGTACATGAGGGACATTGAAGGCACACGACCAAAGAAAATAAGGTAGGTACGCCGCCACACGAAATAATAACACGCGTACAATAGTACACAATCAATACATAAATTTATCAGTACGCGCGCACTCGTTAAACTTGTAGGACGTAGGCTGTGATTGTAGGAAGAAATTATCCTTTTTTTTTTGTACTTTTAACAATTCCTTTCCGAAAGCCATGAATAAGAGAAGTGGGTACCAATCTGGCGCGGAATCCGTACTTAATTAACAGGCAGCAGCAAATACGGGTGATTAAAGTTTAACCCCATTCGAAAAGTCAAACTATTCCTCATTGTTTAGCCCGCATAAGAGATTTCAGTCATCGCCATCGGACAGATTCCTGTACGTTGTGGATTACAGACCTTGCTAGCTATTTACTTTAGGAACTTACTCGGAGATAGCCTTTGATGGAAGGCAAAATGAAAGTGATGGTTTCAGACGGTACGTGTTTTGGAGGATGTAGAAGAGGCAAGGCATAGCTAGAACGGAACAACTATTGCGTAGATAAGGTGTCCCCACTTAAACAACGTCGATTTATACTCCTCTAACGAGCTCCACATTCACGCCACACTCTGCTGTCGATCGCTTTTCCCACTTTTTCCCCACGATTCCACGTCGTAACCCTTTTGCAATTCTGACTGGTGCTGTATAGTGCAAGCATTGGTAATTACCAAAAGCGTATAAACGAAGGAATATATTTTTTATACGCTCTGTGTTTACGTTGGTGAACTGATAGTTGAGAGGCGTCACGATTATCAGAGCGAGCCAGACCAAAATTGCCGCAGCAAAAAAGTATTTCAATATTACAACTATTCTGTCGAGCACGAAAGGCGCAAACATCATGCCAATCTGTGTCACATTGTTAATATAAATTGAAAGAAAGTGGGGCTTCAACTGAGTCGGTCAATAAGTACAACTGTATATATGTATATTACTATACTGTATATATTAATAGTCGGATTATATAGTTATAATATAAATATATATGTATTATAATCAAATATATATGATAGTACTATATAATATACTCACCTATGTCTTATGTCCGAATCAGGTAGCTATTATGGCAATCAATGATCACATAATTTCAGGATTTCTATCCTTGTTTTTCTCGGGACGTATTGTCTTCGCCTCAGGATAGTTACTCATAGGTAGCTTTCCAGATTTGAGACTCACGTGACGCACATATTATGATAGTCATAAAGATCCAGGAATTAATCAATATCCTATTATTATTAGCTCTTGATAAGGCATTTGTGAAATTTTTATCACTAGCGGTTTCTAGAGCGGTTCGACGAGTATGCGAGCGGGAAACGGGGTACAATTAGGTCGTGCGAGATGGTGTGCAAGGGGATGGGAGGTGGGATCAAGGCAGGGGGAGGGAGGTCGAAGGCAGGGGGAGGGAGATGGGAGGTAAGGGGGTGGTAGTGAGAGGCAAGGGGAGTGAAGTGGGAGGGAGGTGAGAGGCAGGAGGGAGGGAGGTGGGACGCAGTGGGGAGGGAGGTGAGAGAGAAGGACCCCTCCACCCCCTCTAATTAAACTTGGAGATCCATGCTCATATGTTGAAATCTTTTTTGTCAACGTCATTCATTAACTTGTATTTGAATTGTTATTATTGTTCTTGTTATTAGAATTAGCCCATAGAGATTAGGTGGGTGCGAAAGTGTAGCTGATATATTTGTTTGAATTGGCTACGAAAGTCAAACAAGAATAAAGAAGACTTATGTGTAAGATGTCTTGCTATGCACAAATGAATTTATCAGCAGAACACCAGACACCAGATGAGCCCTGTCGCACTGTGGCACTTGTTAATTTAAAAATAGAAGGATTGCAATATCTTATAAACGACATATAGCTTCAGGTATAATATGGATAAATTTGTCCTAAAATGAATATCGTTCGGCTGAAGATTTCGAAATTCATTGTTGTTTTATGACAAACGTGAATGCGTAATTATAGATATTTATAGGTATGTGCTATTATTTATAAATCTATCATAATATACTCGCAAATTCTAGAGTAAATTATTCCTTTAAAAACTACAGATATTCCTGTCAGTCACTAAGTCCATAATTCACATATTTATTTATTGTCATATATAGCAATGCTAGTGAAACATTGTAACATCTAATATTTCACTGTTAATCCAACATGGCACTGAAAATATTTATGACATATTTTAGAAGGGAAATTGGATGCTGTTGTGTTTTCTACGGGAACTGGTGGAACGCTTGCAGGAACTTCAACATACCTCAAGGAGCAGAATAGTAGAGTGCAGGTGTATCTTGCTGATCCTGAGGTAGTTGTAATGCCCATCACCTGTTTTTGCAATTTCTTTGTATTTTTAATAATGTTTCATCGCACATTTCTATTATAAGCTGTGCAGAAAACTAATCTTGTGTATGCAATTTAGATAATTATTTGAAGAAATATTAGTGAGTGCCCACCCATTTACTATTAACAATGATATAACAAGCTTTTAAACCATGTACTGTGGTAGTTAGATGGTTATCAGCTGTTGTGCTTTTTTTTAAATAATACAATTAAATGTTGATTCATATCTTCCTGCCAAACCAATAATATCAACATTTCAATGTGTACACTTTTTGTTGGAGGGGTCATAAAAATTGTAGTGTACGCTTGTGATAATCTTGATAATTATGAACGGCCTATATTGAAATGCCGAAGTATCAATGACTATCATCACTCCTGTTTCTGTACCTATTAATTCAAGGGCAGTGTTCTCTACAACTGGTTCAAGCATGGGAAGCTGGAAAGGAAAGGAGATGGAAGTATTACAGAGGGCATAGGTCAAGGCCGTGTCACTGAGAACCTCAAGGGTGCTCCAATCGATGATGCTGTGCATATACCAGACACAGAAGTTGTCGAAATGGTGGGTACATGACAAACGTTGCACCCATACTAAGTTTAAATGATGTTATCGAGTGGTTGCCCTTTTCGCTTCACTTCGTAACAGTGAAAAGTATAGTGTACTGTATTTGCCTTAATGATAAGCCTAGAACATAGGGGATTGGTCTGACCACATATTACATGGATAAGATTTATCTTTTGTATTTAGACAGTACTATATTATATCGTGTAGTGCCATGTGTCGTATCATGTCGTGACATCTTATATCATATATGATATGATATCTTATCATATAACATAATATATGACATGTGAGTTATGAGAAGCTTGTAGAGATATTACTAGTACTATTAAATTCTTGAATAGCCAATTATATATTATGCTCATATTCGTATAATGGTCCAGATATAAATAGGAAATGGAGAAATCTAGTCAGTAACCAGGGGTCTGCTGTGGCTAACTTAAACCTTAGGTTAACTAAGGTCAAAAGTGCATGCATTGCATAGGACTAAGATAATTGTCATCAACTGAGATATTTGCTTGTCATGGCAGGAATCGCTGGTGATTGACCACAGTGTTTTGTTGTATTAATGCAGACATTTAGACTTCTTCATGAAGAAGGGTTCTTCGTTGGTGCATCGTCTGCTCTAAATGTGGTAGCAGCTGTGAAGGTTGCTGAGATCATGGGTCCAGGTCACACCATCGCCACAGCACTTTGTGACACAGGACAGGTAGGTATCATGGTTACCATGGTATCACCATGCTAACAGAATATATATCTCCCTGTTCCATGTCTCCCAGAATTCCCAAAATAGCATCATTGTTTGTTTAATTTATATTGACATGTAATGTATGTGTATGTTATGTATAGAAAACATGTATGTCTGGCCTGCTATTCATAAACTTTTATATGTGCTGTTTCAGCGATACTATGCTAGGCTGTTCTGTCGAGATTGGCTACACAGCAAAGGTCTGGTAGAGTCGGTGCCTAAAATGTATCAGCAATATTTGCATTAAGGGGAGTCAACTGTGGATAGGTAATAGGATGCAATAGGTAAATGCTAATCACATGAAGATTTTATTTTACTAGCTTTAAATTTCACAATGTGTTACACAGGTGAACTATGGTATCGTACCATTATTTTATGTGTGCCGTATCACGATTGTAAATTGAGATTTTAGAGTGGTCTCTATTTGGATACTCTATTTGGATTTGGTTCTATTTGGATGAAACGTCAGTAACATGTGTGTGGAATGTCCAATTATTTGCGGTAAGCGTAGTCGTTCTTTGTATGTTTCAGGAATATATAATGTACTAAAACATTGCGACGATAACTAAACCTTTCTTTCATTTGTCAAAGATATCTGTGATAATGATTTATTTGGTGGGTTGTTGAAAATTTATTATACAACGTTGTGTAACGACTTGTTTTAAATTGTTTTCACAAATCATGTATTAAATGTTGAATATAATTGAAAAAGATTTAATTAAAATGATATTGACTACTGAATACTTCCATTTATCAGGAGTGGATAATAGAGATCTCTATTATCCACTCCTGCATTTATCATCTATTGTTTGAGCAGTTGGACTACGCATATAAAAAGTGGTGTTGTGGGGAAATTGAAGGCCGATTATTCAGGCTCGTATGTCATGCTGTTTTGGTCTGAATAGGACAATAAACATCGTATATAAATTCCATTAGAATATATGACTTATCACGATAAACTTTGTATATAAATTGCATTAGGATATGACTCATGATGATAAACTTTGTATATAAATTGCACTAGGACATGACATCACTTTGTATATAAATTGCATTAGGATATGACATCACTTTGTATATAAATTGCGTTAGGATATGACATCACTTTGTATATAAATTGCGTTAGGATATGACATCACTTTGTATATAAATTGCGTTAGGATATGACAGTGTATGACTTATCAGCAGGCCATACTACAAATGAACGATGAGCTATATGTGAGCATTACCATGAGAGTAATTACGGAAAAAGTAGGATCTCAGGGAAGTTAGCTCCCAGTTCCCAGTTCCTTATTCGAATAAGGAACTAGTAACTAGGCAAGGCAGTTACCAGTTCCCAGTTCGAAATGCAACATTGAATTGGGAACTGGTAACTAGGCAAAATAGTTACTAGATACTTATTCGGCCAAATTAACCCTTTGGCACACATTTATTTAATCAGTTACCAGTTCGATACCCAGCTACTTATTCAGTTACCAGTTCGAATTACCAGTTCGAATAAATGTGTGCCAAAGGGTTAATTTGGCCGAATGCGTAACGCTGAAGGAGTCGTTGTCGTATCAGGTACTACAGATATGTATACACAAGTGTACTAGACCTGTATCTTCTCAGCATATATGTACCCTATGTTTACATAAACGTACCTGCCCCTGAGATGGAGATCGAATGAAGACGGTAGGATGGAGGAGGAGTAGGGGCAGGAGGAGGAGGAGGAGGAGGATCTACTCTATCACTTCGTCCCCTCTTCCTCTCCTCCTCTCCTGCCATGACGATCTCATTAGATCTCTAATCACTTCTCGTTCTCCTCCTCCCTCTCCTACCCCCTCTCCTCCTCCTCCTTCCATGCTCGCGCCCCTACGCATCACCTCTCCCTTCCTTCCTCCTCATTCCCTTCCTACTAACTACCCTAGCTTCCTCCTAGCCATGACCAGTCTTTAATCGATCTCCATGCTCACCCTTCTCCCGCGCCATCGCCCTCTCCTATCCCTCCCCCTCCCTCCCCCTCTTTCCTCGTTCATCGTCTCACGGCTCCTCCGTCTTCCTCTTCTCTCCCTCTCCTCCTCCTCTCCTCCTCCCTCCTCCCGCAGTCCTCCTCCCCTCCTCCTCTCCCTCCTCTCGCCCGCTCCTCCTCCTTCTCCCCTCTCTCGCTCCCCTCCTGCCTCCTCCCCCATACTCCATCAGCTTCTCCCTCTTCACTGCCTCTCTCCCTCCCTTACTCCTGCGCGTACCCGACCTTCTCCATGACCTGTCTTCATTCGATCTCCATCACCTTCTCCCTCTTTCTCCTCCTCCTCCTTCATCTTCTTTCCCTACTTCACATCTACCTTTTCTCTCCTCCTCCTCGCTCCTGCCTCTACTCCTCCTCCATCACCTTCTCCTTCATCCTACTCCCTCTCCCTCCCTTCTGTCCTCCCCCCTGCCACTCCATCACCTTCTTCTATCCTCTCCCCCCTCTCCTCCGTCCGGCTGCCTCCTCCTCCTCCTGCTATCCATGCACCCGTTCTCCACCTACCTCGTGCCTCGCTCCTCCATCACCTCCTCCTCCTCCTCTCCTGCCGTCCTACTCCTCAGCCATGACGACGCGTCTTATTCTATCTCCATCACGCCATTCTCCCGCTCCTCCTCCCTCCTCCTTCCCCTCCTGCCTCTCCTCTGCCTCCTCCCCTCCTCCTCTTCACAGTCACCATTCTCCCCTCGCTCGCTGCTCCTCCTCCTCCCTCCTCTCCTCCTGCCCCCTATAGTCTCCTCGAATGACCGTCTTCATCTATACGATCTCTCTCAGGGGCAGTGTAGTTGTATGTAAATCACAGGGTAACATATATGCTCGAGAAGATCCGAGGTTTCTGCGGTACACCTTTGTGTGTACATATACGCTTACCACGCGGGTACAGTATCTGTAGTACCTGATACGACAACAACCCTTCGCATAAAGACCTAGTAACTATTTGCTTAGTTACAGTTCCAATTCCAATGTTGGCTATTTTCGAACTGGGACACTGGTCAATTGCTTTGCCTACGTTACTAATCTTATTCGAATAAGGATGGGAACTGTACTACTTTGCCTAGTTACTAGTTCCTTATCTTTTTTATATTGGGAAACTGGGTAACTGCTTTGCCTAGTTACTAGTTCCTATATTCGAATAAGGAACTGAAGCT